CCACTTTGCTTCCAGGCAGAATATGAATTTAATTGCCTGCATCCAATACTTATGAATTAAGCGTTTTGAATTGAACACCAATTACCAATCACCCTGCTGTCTAAGGTAAGAAGGATTGTAAAAGCCCCTTGAAAATAATTCTCTCGGGCTGGCCTGGTGGCGCACTGGAGAGTGCGCTGCTTTGGAGCGCGGTGGCACTCCCGCCAAGGGTTCGGATCCCATGTGGAGACCGGTTCCCGCTCACTGGCTGAGCGCGGTGTGGGCGCAACACCTAGGGTTGCGATCCCGTTACCGGTCAGTAAAAAAGACAAAAAGGAAAAAAAATAAAAATAATAATAAAATAATAATAATAATAATTCTCAAGGTAAGCAAGCAAGATGAGAATCACGGAGAACATTCCTATAACCTTTGCCCACAGCCACCACTGCTCTACTCCCAGAACATCCCTACGCTACAAGTGAAAACTGATCCTCAAAATGCAAAGGAGCTGAAAATGAAAGCATCTCTACCTCAAAATCATGAAAGTATTTCTGCCAACGGGAATCGTGGTTTGAGTCGCGCTCAAGCCACAGGGCACCGCTAATTCATCACTCGAATGGGCTTTAATTTCATCTGGAGTCAGACACAGGCTCAGGTTCCCATCCAGAAACCGACCAGCTTCTGTCTCAGGATGGTGGGGATTCACAAGCAGCACTTTGTCACCATAATGGATATATCCATCTTCAGATATGGAAAGCTGCATCTACAATTTTAATGAGATTATTTCAAATCAACTATGCAATTCTTTAACAGCCAGTGTTGAGGCCATTCCCAGGCATACATTCTCTCCTTCTAGGACCTGTTTCAATAAGGATTTCACTTGTATTTCAGACTAGGACCCATTTCAATGAGGATTTCACTTGTATTTCAGACTAGGACCCATTTCAATGAGGATTTCACTTGTCTTCCCTCGAATCTTTAGTTTTCTTCCTTTCCCTTCCACTTTGCCAAGGTGAATCCCCCAGT